CCATTCGCCCCCGAGTCCCGGTCCTGCACGTGCAGCAGGGCTACCACGGTCCCAGTCGGGGCATCCTCAGAGATCTCGCTCAGGGCAGATGACACTGTGAGTTCGGGGACATTGTCGTTGACGTCGGTGACAGTGATCACGACTTTTGCTATATCGAACAGGTCCCCGCCATCTCGAACCTGTATCTCCAGTTCGTAGGATCCGATATCCTCGAAGTCTAGGTTACGGGTCAGTGTAATTGCTCCCGTGTCGGCACCTAGCTTAAATATCTGCGAGGCTTTCTCTGTGATTTTCTTAAATGAGACCCTAAAATCAACGTGTAAAGCACCGTAGTTCGTTAGTAAACAATTCATCTAAGTATTTGTTAAGGACGATGATACGATATGTGTTGAAGAAAATCACGGAACCGTAGAAAAAATTTAAAACTCTTGAAACTGAGCTGACCACTATTCAATGTGCAAATGGGCTTCATTCAAGTGCCTAAACCGTCCTCTGGCCAATCTCCCTTATATGGGATCCATTCGCATCTCAGATGCTTATCCGAGTAAACAGAACTGCAAACATTTGCTGTTCTTAATATTTGCGAGGTCTACTAAACGCCCCAGTATTATTGTGAAAAAAGGATATAAAAATAAAAATCTCAGAAACAGAAATCTTTCAACACTCTCACCATTGTACGAAATAAAGATCTTGAAGAGCAAAACAGAGCCACTAAGGAAGCAAAACCGGAGTCATCTAGTCCCACTACTGCACAACCCCCCCGCTACAAAACGGGTGACAATCTCCTTTTTCACTCAGGATAGAGAATGGAACTTTCCAAATTCGTTTCCCTTCTAAATCGAACAGGGACAAAACAGAGTTTTAAAAACGGGTTTGGATAAAGCTATACACGAGTTCCAAGCACACCCTTTCTGAACAAATCAGTCCAGAAGGATAAAAGCTCCAACACCAGGTCTCACTGCTTTCTTGGTTTTTTTTCTCCTCCACTCAATCATACAGAATCAGCCATTCATCTTCCACAGAAATACGAATCTGCATTCAATGTTGGTAACAAATTCTAATGTACAGAGCTCGAGTGTTGAAGACAAAACCTCGCACCTGAAGCTGAACCTATGCCCAAGGAAGAACCAAGTGCTTCCTGCTCTCCGTGAACGAGGTGCAGCCCGTTCCCTAATTCAGTCCGTCACGGAAACAGGACTGTGCAACTCACACAAACACGATTCCGGGAAGCATGGACAAACACTGAGAAGCGCTGCTACTAGCCCAAAGGAGAGCTATAATCAAAGGCTGCCAGCTGAAGCTCTTACCGAGAAAAATTAAAAAATTCGGCCGCTACTTGAGGATACAAATGACGAATACCCACTGAGACCATGCAGAGAATACCCAGGGGGAAATGACGACCATTCGGAAACTTTTAAAAAGAGAAGCCCAGCCTTTACAGACCTGCGGTGCATCCGGCTCGGCGGGAGGATCTCCAACGACGAGGTCACTGTTGGGGCTCGGCTTCTCGCAGGAATCGCCGCCCAGCAGCTCCTCCGCCGACAGGACGGGCACCGGCACCGGCGGCGGCGGCCAAGCGGCCTCGGGCACGGCGCGGGCCGGCGCCGCCACGCACAGGTTGTAGGAGTAGGGCAAGGTGCCCTCGCAGAAGTCGGCCGGGAAGGCGGCGCCGGCCAGCGAGAAGCGCTGCGCGCCCAGGCAGCGCAGCACGGCGGGCGGCCCGGCCCGGCGCAGCCGCGCCAGCACGGCCAGCGCCACGCTCAGCACCAAGAGCGCCGACAGCAGCGCCAGCGCCAGCACCAGGTAGAACTGCAGCTCGGCCGCCGCCGCCGCCTCCTCCTCGGCGCCCGCCGGCCGCTCGCTCAGCTCCGGCAGCGCCTCCTGCAAGCTCTCGGCCAGCACCACGTGCAGCGTGGCCGTGGCCGACAGCGCCGGCTGCCCGTGGTCCTTCACCACGGCCACCACACGCTGCTTGGCCGCGTCCCGCTCGGACACGGCGCGCGCCGTGCGCACCTCGCCGCTGTGCAGCCCCACGCGGAACAGCGCCGGCTCCGACGCCTGCACCAGCTCGTACGACAGCCACGCGTTGCGCCCCGCGTCCGCGTCCACCGCCACCACCTTGGCCACCAGGTAGCCGGCCTCGGCCGAACGCGGCACCACCTCGAAAGGCGTCGCCGCCCCTCCCGCCGCCTCTCCCGCCGCCGCCGCCGCCGCCGGCCACAGCACCCTGGGCGCGTTGTCGTTGCGGTCCAGCACGAAGACGCGCACCGTGGCCGTGGAGCTGCGCGCCGGCGAGCCGCCGTCCTGCGCCCGCACGGCCACCGTGAACTCGCGGCACTGCTCGTAGTCCAGGGAGCGCTGCGCGTACAGCGCGCCGCTCCGCGCCTCCACCGACACGAGCGGCGCCGCGCCCGCCGCGCCCGCGCTGCCGCCCGCCAGCCAGTAGCTCACGCGCCCGTTGGCGCCCGCGTCCGCGTCCCGCGCCTGCACGCGCAGCACCAGCGCGCCCGCAGCGTTGTTCTCCGCCACGTACGCGCTGTACGCCGCCTCCTCGAACACCGGCGCGTTGTCGTTCACGTCCGACACCTCCAGCACCAGCTCCCTGCTGCTCCACAGCGCCGGCCTGCCCCGGTCCCGGGCCACCACCGTCACGCCATGCTCCGACGCCTGCTCCCGGTCCAGCGCGCCCGTCGTCACCACCTTGTACGAGCCGCCCGACGACGCCACGATCGACAGCGGCGCCTCTCCCGACAGCTCGCACCACACCTGACCGTTCTCACCCGAGTCCGGGTCATTTACGTTCAAGAGAGCCACCACGGTGCCGACTGCCGTGTCCTCTGGCACCGGGCTCGAGAGCGAAAGAATTGTTATCTTAGGAGAATTGTCATTCACGTCCAGCACCTCCACCTCCACCTTGCAGTGCGCCACCAAACCCCCTCCATCCTTCGCCACCACAGCCAGGCTGAACGCGCGCGTGTCCTCATAGTCCAGCGCCTCCTGCAGCGTGATCGTGCCTGTGTCGGCATGTACTGTGAACTTCTGAAGCAATTTAGCCGGCATTTTTCCGAAGCCGTAGGTGATGTGGGCGTTGGTGCCTGTATCAGCATCAGAGGCAGACACGTTCAGCACCGTCGATCCCGGAGGCGTGTCCTCGCGCAGGCTGACGCGGTACCGATCCTGCGCGAACACGGGTGGGTTGTCATTGGCGTCTGTGACGTTGATCCAGAGCTGGGCGGTGCCAGTCCGGGGCGGCTCTCCGCCGTCCACAGCCGTCAGCAGCAGACGCAAGCTCGGCTCGCTCTCTCGGTCTAATGAGTGGCGCAGCACCAGCTCTGCGGATTTGCTGCCGTCCTGGCTCTCTTTCACCTCCACCGCGAAATACCCGTTGACCTCCAGCTCATAGCCTTGTAGCGAGTTAATCCCTGCGTCCCTATCCTCTGCTATGCCCAAGTAAAATCGGGCACCGGGAGAAGTAAATTCGTTGATCTCCAGTTGAAAACTGTCTTGCAGAAAGCGCGGCGCGTTGTCGTTCACGTCCTGGATATCCACCTCGATGCGGAAGACGTTCAGCGGGTTGTGCACCAGCGCCTCGAAGCTGACGGAGCAGGTCGCCGACTCGCCGCACATCTCCTCCCGGTCCAGCCTCTCATTCACGTACAGGTTCCCGTTCTCCTCATTCACCGTGAAGTATTGCTTCTCGTCGCTCAGCCGCAGCTTGCGCGCCGGCAGCTCGTCCGCGCTGAGCCCCAGGTCCCGCGCCAGCGGCCCCACGAGCGAGCCTCTGCCCAGCTCCTCGGGGATGGCGTAGCGGACCCGCTCGGCCGCCGCCCGGCCCCACACGCACAGCAGCACCGCGGCCAGCAGCGCTCGCCCGCCGCCCGGCCCAAGCCTCTGCCGCCGCCTCACCGCCATTCTCTGCCCGCAGCGCTCGCCGCGCTCCTGCCTCCTGCCGCTGCCCTGCCTCCCTTCCAGCCGCTCTCGCCGCCCACAACACACACCGCTCAAAGGCTGCGAGCTCGCCGCGCCGCCTCTCGCCGCCTCTCGCCGCCTCTCGCCGCCTCTCGCCGCCTCTCGCCGCTGCTGCTGGCGGCGGTGCCGCTGCCGCTGTGGCCGGCGCCGGGCGAGCGAGCAGCCTGCGGGGGCAGGACGCTGCGGCGGCGGCGGCGGCGGCTCCAGCGCCGCTCGGCGGCGGCCAACAGCGACACCCGGAGGCGCCGCCGCGCCACTGCAGCCGCCGGAGCGCCGCGCTCAGGGGGGCCCGGCTTTGGGCGGGGCTCAGCGGCGGCACCGGCCCCGGGGCTCTCCCGCCTGCCCGCACCGCCACCAGCTCCTGACTGAGGCCACCCCGAGGCCTTTCTGTCTCACATGTGCTCTCGGGTGCTCTCAGAGCATTCTTTTGAGTCACACAGAACGGTCAGAAGCAAATATTCATGGCAGGGCAGTAAAAATTGGAATTCAGCTGCTCTTCATAAAATCACGGGCCATTTACACCAACAAGAAATGGTAATATATAGAAGACTTCAAGAGCTTTTTCGCACTTTAACTCATGTCTTAAATTGTTATTACATCCATTCCATGATGCTTGCACGGGGCCACTTCTCCAGCCCATCCCTGGCTGCCACCTCTGCCCTCCCGTGAATCAACTCCAGGCGCAGTCAGCTGCAAACTGCCTGAAGGGGCACTCAGCCCCATGGGCCAGCAAGGTGCTGAGCAGAGCTGGGCCCAGTCAGGGCCCCTGAGGGACAGCACCACTCACTGCTTCCCACCTGCACGTGGAGCCACTGTCCAGAACTCTCTGGAGGTGACTCTCCAGCCTGTTCCTCAGCCATGGCACAGCCTCCAGCTCATTGCCCAGCATGTTCCCCTGGCTGATGGCCTGGGGGACACTGCACACCTTCTCCCACTGGCCCTGGGCTGGGCATGGCAACCTTGCCTGGGCTGGGTGCTCACTCTGCACTTTGACAGCTGCAGCACAGATGCTTCTGCATTAGCACAACACAGACAAAATGTTCTGGGTGAGCAGACGTGCTTATGAAACCCTTCCTCTGTACAGCTGTGAGCACCACAGGTGGGGGTGGGAACTGCACCTGCACTCGGGCAGCTGGGACAGAGGAGACCTTCCCCATGAGATCAGACACCCTGAGCCTGAGCTCATGACCACAAGCAATGCAAGAGTTAGAAACACAAGGAAATGGACAGATGCAATAACATTTTGTAGCTCTCCCTTGCCCTACAGAAGGAACTCAAATCACACTGGACTCCATCAGGCACAGCCTGGGGCTCTCTGTGACATGTGACAAGCAAGGCAATGACCGAGTTCTTCTCCAGCCTCACACACACAGCTCCCCTGTCTGCTTTTTCTTCCACGCCAGGCCACTCTGAGGTTTGGATTGTGGCCCTCTCCTCACTGCTCAAATCTACCATGAGATGATAATGCACTGCAGCCACAGCCAGAAGGGAGGTGCCATTGTCTGCTCACCTCCATTATGATAAGGAACTGAAGGATTCTAAAGCACACAAAAATGATAAACAACCCTATTGAACTTTCATCACAATAGAGAATGGTTCATCAAATCATTGCCCTCGAGGGAATCTTCTCTCCAGCTTTATCACATGCTCTTTTTTCCACAAAGATGCAACATCGACAAATATCATATTTACATCTATTTCTCCCAACAGGAACAGAACACAAAGTCACTCTCATATCTGCTGTCATCCACTCCCACTGCAGCAAGTGCTGGGGACATTAACACACCATACATTGCTCAAAAAAAGATGGGTTGTTGATATCCCACATACTGTGTAAATCATGGAAAAAGCAAAAAAGCTGCAGAAAACTCCAAAACATGAATCAGATAAGGCAAGGAAGCATTAGAAGACATCAAGGAGTCAGAGATGCTCACAGTGAAGACTGCTGGGCCTTGATTGCAGGCCTTAAAATCCATCCCTGAGAGCACCTGGAAGTCACTGAGGTTCCAAGGTGCAAGTGTGGCATGGAGGATTTACACAGCCCAGCAGGATAGGGGGGTTCATTTCAATAATTAGTCCTCACCACAGCAACTTTTTCTACTGCATGGCCTGCTCACCTTGCACAGTTATGAATCCATCATTTTAAAAAGCTTCTCATTGGCCTCTTTCTCAAGCTAAATCTTCTGACAAATTACAACAGATTCTCTTATTGCTGCTTCTTCCTATTCTTTGTATTCCCCACATACACAATTTTCTCCTAGGTGGCTGCAGTAACGATGTGCTGAAAAACAACAGTCACTGTTTCATGTTTAAAAGTAATTAGCAGAATTGTGAAAATGAGCTGCAACCTCCCTGGAAACAAAGGCCTGAAAGAAAGCGGAATTACAACTCTGTAGAAACTCTATACCACAAGGCTGCATAAAGATACAGATGGATAATGGAGGTCGCACAGAAGATTAATTGGCACTTTAGACAAGAATGAAGGTTCTACACAAACACTGTGGCAAATGTTACCACTGGAAGACTGTCACTGTCTTCATGACAGAGAAACCAGGATCAGAACAGCAATGGCACTGCCTTTGGCACCAAGCATGAAATCAAACCATTTCTCTGCCAAACCCACACCGAGTCACTGATTTCTCTGGCACACAACTGAGCTCTCACCCTCCTCACTCTGCATTCACAGCCTGCAGTTTCACCATCAACACAAACCAAAATGTTAGTCCCATGTTGACCACAGAGAAAACAACACCTTGGGAAAACATCCATTCATGAAATTGTATTTCATGAATGAAGTATTCAAGGTCAGGCTGGCTGGGGCTCTGAGCAACCTGCTCTGCTGGAAGATGTCCCTGCCCATGGCAGAGGAGCTGCAACAAGAGCATCTTTGAGGTCCTTTTGCAACACAAACCATTCTGTGTTTCTAGGATAACATGATTACATGTACAGTTTCAATGGATGGATGAGAGATACTCTCCCTTCTGGACAATTATATGTTTTGGACTTTGCAGGATTGCCAGGCACAATGAGCATCACCTCTATTCCTTGACAAACAAAAAAAAAGAGCAAACCAACAAACAACCCAAATGAAACCAAACACACTAAAAACCTTAAACAGCCCAGCCTGGGAAAACACCAGAAGAGTATCAATCGTGGCCTCACATTTCAGACAGGGTCAACTG